AAATCTTCATACTCTGATGACGGAGGCAGTATGACCTCCGAAACGTCGGTAAACTTCTACCAAACTACACAGCGCAACAACCCAGAAGACAGAAATCTTCAATGATTTACCTACCTAAAATGATACATAATTTATCATTAGTTCGAATAGTATCTTGAGTAGACTCAGTGTCACACTTTATAATGTCGTGCATTTATTGGTACAAACACACTCGGTATCACTGAATCTAGACCAGAGGTTCCTAAACTTTTATACCTTGAGCCCCCCTTAAAACATTTCATAAATTTCACGCGCCCCCCTTCCAGAACAAATGCAAGCAACCAGATTTGACATAAAATTTAGCTATGAGTATACATTATTTTATAATTTATTATATATTATTCAATGCATTTAATTTAAAATATACGCTTCATTCCTGGATTAGTGGGATGGATGAGAACGTAACTTATACCGAGGTTTGAGTTTTGAAATTGCCGCTCTAAGGTCGTTTTCCAGGTTCATCGTAGAACGATACTCTGTTCTGATGGCAGCCACTGCTGAACTGCCTTAATCAAGCGAAGGATGTTAAAAGATTTTCTCCATATTTCGTAAAAAAAAAATTCACACAAACAACACGCCGCGCCCCCCAGGGGGGGCATGCCCCACACTTTGGGAACCTCTGGAATAGCCAATCGCATTGTGAACTAAAATGTCGAACGTTGATGTATTTGTTACAGCATCTTCTATCAACGAGTCCTGTTTCTTCAACGAGCAGTGCGAGATGAGTCACTATCAGACCGAATGCCGTGAGAGTCACTGTGTATGTCGGTTCGAGATGACGCCCTTCACCAAGAAGGACGGAACAATAGAGTGCTCTGGTCAGTGAAACCACCATTTAAATACGAAAGAGTAGCCTCCATTACAGCAACAAATACGTTGATGAACTCTTAAGAGCTGGTATTCTTATACTGAAAATTAATTCTGCCCCAGATGGTCACATCTGACTGTCACATCCATTTTAACACCAAAATATGACAACATTTTGAAACACGCAGTGCAAATATCCTTCCGCGTTTAATTAAACAAACAATCCTATAGTTTTGTTGACAGTATCTATAAAACTTTAATGACTAATATATCGTACACAACAGGATACTAACTTTGAAGACGATTAAGACTATTTAAAAAGTTTCACTCATGATAATCCACAAGTTACGATAATCAACTACCAGCAGAGTCATCATTGACAACATTATAATCCATTGTGTTGTGAAGCTTTCCCGGCAGATGTCAGTAATAAACGTTCTCAGGCCAGCAGCCCAGTCACTTGCGCCTCCAACAAAATATATGTGCATTCACGCTTTAATGTTCTATCACATAAACATTCGATAGGAAATGAGGGAAAATTCCAAAGCTTTCGATTTAAATTCAACACACATTAAACACCAAGAGCATTCAATACTTCGAGACAACCCATTTAGACTGTGTGATTCAGTATGTCCCTTCTTGCAAATCAGACGAAAGGATCTACTGGTTAAGATAGGTTATGTTGTTACAGGCCAATAACCGAAAACATGAACGTTTATGTAAGAAAGTAAACAAGCCATTCAAATTATTTTCTGAAATCTTTCAGCGCAAAACCGGGAAGAGACTCCATTGGAGATAATTGTCAACTGCAGTGAGCTGTTCTAACATAAACGTTATAAAGTTTTTCCCTTTGGGGATTATCATGCGCCATGCTCTTTGGAATCTGTAATTGACTGCTCACGTGCCCAACAGAATGTTTCGAGCTGAGCTGAAATGTGCTTCGCCTACCTGGTGGATGTCCGTTTGCGACACTGCCGGTCTCTTGCAACTGTTGACACTGCTTACGAATAGAATTATCAGTTGGAACACCTTTTCGATACACCCTTCTAAAGTTTCTCCGAACGGTCATTACAGACTATGATTCCGCGTATCACAACACACACACATTACATCCTTTATCCTACGTCGACGCCAAGAGTGAATGACTACTGCTTTCAAGCGGTCAAAACTTGTCGCTGGGCGGTGCTGCCATCTCTCCAGAGTTCATATCACTAAAACGTGGGCAGATTTTGCACTAAATTTTCGAAACGTACCAACTCTAATTAAGCAGAGAACAAATATATAACTAAAACTCTAGAGCTTTCTTTCGGATACTCTGTACTTTGTAATTTGAACCAGAACTGCATGTTAAAATAGCCTATTCCTTTTCTCATAAAGCTTGATCTTCTGCAACACTTGTTAATTTGTCTCTGTAGCACATAACCTCACCAAAGCAGCCAGAAAGCATATGAATAGTCAGGCCACACCATACTCCCCACCCTCTTGCATAGCATTCTTCTAATTGGTTTTTACAATAACAATGGGAAAAGTAACACAGTATAAAACATTAGTGTAACTCACTATCTTCATGGGGCATAGCCCTTCATCAGAAATTAATAAACATTCAGCTAACTTAAACCAGCCTTCATAGAAATTGATGGTTAATTACCACATTCACAGGACCCCACGACTTGATCCTAACCTAAGCCAGATGTAAAAATGTAAAAGATCTCAGAGATCACAGAGAATTAAGCTTGTTTTTACACATTATTCCAACTACTTATGATGAATCAGAATTCCCATTCTTTATTAATGTTTAATTTCACATGCAATAATTTGGTCTTATGTTAATATTTATGTGGTTGGTGCTTGCAGTGAAGAATGAGCCAACTGGACCCACAACATATGTAGACCCTGCCATGATTGGTGTCCTGGTGGGGATGGCACTGATGTTCATCATCCTGTGCGTTGTGCTCCGACTCTTCAGCAAGTGAGTTGTTGCAAATTTGTAGCTTGTCACAACTACTGCTTCACGTCATCACCAGCCACCATGAACAAATATAAATTACTGCACTAGTATTCATACGACCATTTAATTTACAAGTTTTATTGTTTCTTCTTCGAGTATAGATGATATTTTTCCACCAGGAGCAGTGAACAAGTGGCGATCAAAAGTGCAAAGCCTCTTCGCCAGAATGCATGCCGTCTCGTCCACACCTGAACCTCAGACTCTCTTGTTGTGTTACTCCGTTACATTATGGCAGAATGTGCAGGTGTGGATCCAGCTTTAAGATTCACTTTGGAACCTTTAATTTTTAATATATCAATTAATTACACATAGTACGTGACTATTCATAGATCACGGTATCTCTTCTTCGCTGCTGTCTTGAAGATATCGAACATGGTATAAGAATTGCTGATGGCTGTAAACTTCAGAAGTCTTGCATTGTATCTGTGCAACATTCGTGTTTGTATAACAATATGAATGTTTATTTTTCAAAACCACAATTACATTCTTTACTTGTAAAACAATCAGTATTAACAAATTATGTGACATTTTAATCAAGTATCCTACGTGACAAATATCTCTAAGTTGGTACTGCAAGCTCTCTTCATTTTATAATTTCTCGAGGTTTAAAAAATAGTTTTGTGTGATATATCACATCGTTAATTCTTCCATAGTTAATAGGTTTCAGTTTGTACAGCGCACATGTGCAACTCAGACATGAGTATGTAATTCGGAAGTCAATTACATTGACGGATTGCCACAACACATCTGCTTATGTGGCAATAATTATGAAGGCAAATTATCTAGATTGAATGCTTCAATACTTTATTCCAGGTGGTGGAATCTCAATGCTCCCACCTTCCTCATCAATGTTTCCAAAAATAAAATTTGTTATTCTTTCACTATCGAATCTGTTAATACACAAACAAACAAGGATAGTTAGATATTTTTCTGCTTCTGTTGAAAATATCATCTCCACAAGCACTAAAATCTTCATTTACTGACATTTTTCACTCTTTCAAATAACTCATTAATTAACATACAACCTTTCATTTTGTACACTTGGTCCCTTTTATCTGTAGTTCTTACTGCCTTTGATTATCATCTTGTTCTCATCCTACCACTTACTTGCCTGTATTGAGTTTGTCAAGCACGTTCATAAATGAAATAAATAATTATATCACCACCAACATAATTTTTGAGGTTATGTCCCACATAACTGCCTTATTTATTTATGGTTTTGTGCTTTTCATGCATATACACGCTTGTCTTCGCCAAAATTTCTCACCTGATTTTACACAAGATTTAAATGTTCTCACATTCTGATCTATCATGTTGATATTATCAGAAAACTTGCAAATTCATACTTCTAAATATGGCTATTTGCATTCATGTCTCTGCGTAATGCTCTCACACTTGAATGTTAAGATTGAGAATTCTTATATCGCTTGATTCATTTATATCTGTCCCCACATCAACAATATCTCTGCAAGAGTGGAGCATGTGATTGTATATATCTTTATAATAACAAATCTAAACTGCTAATAATAAAATCTGTTTGCTGGCACTGTAGCATTCTTTGTGCACGTATGCAAATATGACCCACTGTTATGACAATGTTCAGAGCATCACACAGCTTTCATTAAAATCACGCTTACTGTAAATGCATGAATAAATGTAAAATGTCTGCGTACCAAGCAACACCTCCTACCATTATGGATTTGTCCAACTAAAAACAGAAGTTTAACATAGGATTCCAAGTTTAATTACAACAAACCTTTCATATTCAGTTTGGCCCCCTAAATAAAGGAAAATCATTCAGAAAAACCTGAATAAATAAAACAGAAAAACCTCGTATTAAATTTTTAAAAATTGTTGCACATGAGAAAGAAATTACCTCAAAGACAGAGGATTGGATGTAATGATAGTAATAATCTTTTGAAGCTGAAGCTAAATATTTAAATATCAATCCCTACCTCAAAGGAAACCTGTTTTTATTACAAAGGTACATCACATAATCTGTGGTCAAAATGTGGGATTACAGATTGTTAAGTGGTACTTTTAATACCATGGGACTTTAAGAGTTTAAAATGTTTCTTGGATAAACAGTCTATGAAGATGTGGACTGGATTTAACATAGACAGGATATGGCTCAATGGTGAGAATCTTATAACACAGCGATGAATCTTCAGGTCACAAAAGATTTCAGACAGAACAATCAACTCTTCCAGCAACCTGAACCATACTGTTTGTTTGTTGGTTCTGTGATAAGTTCATTATGTTCTTCTAAAAAAGAAATGACAGCAATCTCTATTAATAAGTACGTTTATCATACATATAAATGCCTGTTTTTCTGTGTGTCCTCCGTGATTTCTCCTTCCTCTCTTTCGCTCATTACTTCAAACAGCTTTTCCTCAGCTAAAATCAATGCCAACTGAAACAAGTACATTATTAAAACCGCTACGTGTAATTACCACTGATAATTTGACATTATTTGTTAAATCAGAGCCCGATGGAGAGAGAATCGAACAATTTTCAATACACCAAACCCTCGATTGATGAACGCGTCGCTTTTGAGAGAGAGCAAACTGCTGCACGGTACTGACCGCCGAGGAAGCCGCGCGAGCGTCCGAGGTCCAAGCCGCCATGCCAGCATGGCATCACTGAGACCACAGTCACCTCAGTCATTGGGTAAGAAATATACTTATAAGCGTAAATTATGGCTAAAATTTACTACTTACTGTGACAACGGCGTACAAATACCATGCCAATGCTACTTACTTGGAAATGCAGAAAAATTACTAAACAACTGCCTAAGACAACAAGTTTCTGTTAGGTTCTAATAATTTTTAAACTTAACCTAGATTTTATTTCTAAAAATACCTGCAATATGTATAGCCACATAATATTCAGAGAATACCGCCAACTGAAAGAAGACACAACGAGCAGTGTTTACAACTTTCAACCATCCGGTGTCTCATAATACGAGAACCCAACAACTTTCAGTACACAAAAGATATATTTATATTCATTGCTTAAATTTTGTCACACTCATGTATTATTTGTTTAATATATTAGTAACTGCAAGTTCTTAATACTAATAATTTTAATTATGAATTTTTTTTTACATATTTATAACAAGCTGTGCTATAAACAGTTTATGTAAACATGATGAAGAAACTTGTAACCGGCCGATCTTTTGGTTAATTACCAACACTCTTTTAACATTGTTTTTTGTAATACTGAATAGTAGAGATGTGAATGACATCTTCGACAGGATTAAAGAATACCGCATAAAGTTTCAGCCTGTCATTGGAACAGGACTTTAAAACCAGAATTCCCAAAATTGTGATATGCATTTCATATCTTATAGAAATGCCAAATTTAAAATCTGTAGTTATGTTTCAGCATTATTTTTTTCGCTATGTTCACGTCATGTAAATATCTCAATTTGTTAACATGTAATAGTGTCATATGTTAATTACTAGAAAAAAATTATGAAGGATTTCTTATATTTTTCAAATATTTGGAACCTGACTTTAAATATATAAGATCAACTCCAGGGGTGTGCTGCACTTTTATTACTTCTAAATAGATGTCAAATAGAACAAGTAGTAATGGGTAGAACTTCTATTCCGCTACATAGCTGCCAGAACAATTGAGACTTTACTGATCCAGTGACACATCATCACTTCCATTTCCATGGAGAAGAAATCAGGGCGCAGTCCTTTCACTCAATGGCTCACCTCTTTCTTTTTTTATGATATGGGGTTATTAGCCCCACGCCCAACCCCCAACCTGGAGGACCGGGTCTCCATATTTATGTCCCCTGGAGACTGGGTGGCCTGACTATAACCCTCGACACAGGGTAGCTCGGGGACGCCGCTCCCCGTACTCACCGTAGTGAGCCCCTGAGGCAAATATAAAACAATGCTGTATAAATATAGCGAATTAGTTACCTATAACATACGGTGAACCATTAAAGGTTAAGAAATGGCCAGAGTTATACATTGACACATAAAGATAATGTAATTAACAATTAAACATTCATATAGACAGTTGTGTTGAATCAACTGTTTCATCAAGGTTCACGACGGGGAAGCCACGCCAGCAGTAACGCATCTGCGACCTCCAACAAGTCCCCGGTATCGCCGACTAAAGCAACAACCACCAACAGCACAGGAGTACCAAACCACGCTGAGAGTGTGACCGTCGAGGTGCAGGAGCCTAAAATATAAGAAGGATGCGAGTCAAGACAGGATGCAGGGCCAACTCTGACTCCGAAAATTAAACACCTAAATCTCATCTTGTTCATACTATGAAGTATCTTGTCATCGTACTCCAGAATTTTTATCGTATCTAACGACATTAATGTTTGGCTTGAAATTTTTCTCCTATAGATCAGCTTAGGGAAAAATTTAATTAAAAAATCCATATAAAGAAAACATTATCAAAATAATTACAAATTTCACATACAGTACTTAATTATTTCCCATAGTAAATTGTATTACATGTAATTTCTGAACAAGATCGTTTGATGCCAAAATTTGTAGTATGAACAAGTTAGAAGAATATTGATTAGGTACTTTTATGTACACGTGATTGAAGTCAATAGAGTGATTCTTACTAGGGACCAGCTAATTTATTATCTTTACGTCTCTGTTATATTGAATTATATTTATTAGAAGCATTAGAGCAGAAGTGTTGGGAAAGTCAATGGGGCTTAGTAGTACAGAGAATCACTGATATCTATAATGTATTAAATGTTTGTTACATAAATATATAATTTTATCGAATGAATTAAAATGGATAAAATGTTATGCTTCGAATAATATTATAAGAGTTTACGCGCTACGCTGAATATTTATGTTGTTTTTTTTTGTGAAATTCGATTCAGATGATCTTGTGTCAATGTGACATTTAGAAATTCCTTTCAGAAGACATGATGCTTAAGGTAAAGAAAATAATTTTTTAAAAAAAAATCCAAACATAATCTAATCAGAATGTCAACAACAGAGACTTGGAAATTATCTCAGAGAGTGTAAAATTTTAAATTTATCAAAGAGGATAGTTTAATTTAAAAATAATCTTTTTCCCTGTCCATTTTGGACAGACATTCTTTAACGCTTTTTACTGAAAATCAAATTAAAATCATCATCAGCAGTAGTAGTAGTAATTATGATAGCAGCTGTGGTAGAAAGTATCATTTTTCAGCCTGCCGCAACTGTCCTATGTCTTAGCACATGCTTTAACAGTATTAAACAAAATATATTAGGATTATTCATTTGTATATATTTTAATTTATTCTTTTCCAGTCATCTGTGTATATATTTCTCTACATAAAGGTACAATTATAAAGAAGCATTCCTTATATGTAACTTTAAAACAATGAAATTACTTTTTGTTGTGTTTCCATTATATAAGATTCATTTTCATTTTTCATGTGCACGTATTTTTCTTACAAAGCACGTGTCATCAACTAACTCTACATCTGTGCCTATTCTTATTTAATAACATTAATTAAAAATGCACCAACGCGACATTCATCGATACAATTGTACTCAGACATGAAGACCAATATTTGTTACTAATCGCACAAGCGTAAATTTAGATCAGGATATATCCCTTGCACTCACTTTATTGAGCTTGTAAATTTTAAATAATAAAATGCAGTGACATACATAACTATTAGAATGAATATTCTATATAAGTTTTCATAATAATTCTGTAGTCAAAGAAATATATTTCAGATGTTACACTCACGATCAACTCGTACATCCGAAGGGCTCGATTTTTATGGCCTTCGTATCTTAATAAAAATCTATACGATATTATAGCCTCTCGCTTAACTAGCAAAATTCGTAGTTCACAGTTTTTACGTACGTAGTTGTTCCCTTATTCTCTCTTCGCCAATATAACATCTGCTATCAGAAAATTTGGGGAAGGTTTTCTGATCACCATTTGCTGGACGCCGTGACATACAGCAGATGAACGTGCATGATCCATTACAAATGTAGCAACTTTCTTCACGTACTTAGTGTGTATTAATGTAACTAGTTCAAATATTATGATTTAAATAGTGATACTACGAAAGTGATAAAAAAGTTTTTACTACTTAAATACTATTTCCCATTGCTGCTCAAATGTACAACAAGCTATACTGTGAATACTTAATAAATATCTTCAAAGTTCTTTATATCAACATGTCTTGTATGCGTAGCTTCAGCAACATAGAGAAATTACTTAGAAGTGAAATTATGTATCTATGAAAAATATGATTTTAAGTACGTCATAGTACGTATGCCACTTTCTATAAGCTTCTTGAATGTGTAAGAGGAGTTGGTTTTAATATCTGAACTTGAGTCATTGGGGAAGAGATTCAAGTCCTCATAATTAAAACATCGAGTAATGAATTATAGAGATTTATCACACAGACAAATTTCTGTCCAGACTTTTTTAATATTTTAATATAATATATTTATATTAATATTCCTGCTTGTTCTGAAAATATATAGTGTGCTTGTATTTATTTACATTTTTTATTGGTGTGTTGAAATGAAAGGAGAGGGACACTTTTTCTACAATTCCTGTCTGTAGAATAGCAACTATACTTAATGAGAGTTTAACATAGTAACTTTGAAAGGATAGAGAATAGTAAACAAAGTAATGTATTTCAAAATGCCAACTGAATCCACTTTGTATTCTTGTCTTTCAAAACATTCAAAGATCTGACTGCTGTTATTCTATACAATATAAAAAAAAATGTATCACTGAACTTAATTTTAATAAAAATCTTATCTTGCAAGACTATGGATCCATTTTTATTTATGACACGCCTACAAATGCACTAAACGTCTTGCTGTATAACTAAATAAAGATGTCGGTAAACTTCCACCAGACTACAACAACCTAAAAGACACCCATCTTCAGACTCACCACCATCAGAAACCTAAAATCCTCCTTGTACCATCATAATCATTATCAGTCAATAAACTAACGGCCCTCTCCAAAGTCTCACACCCCCACAGTCATCAGAATCTTAAATATCATATTGGTTCTGTCTGCTTTTCTCACTGTCCCAAAAATGTAATCCTCCTTGAATTTTTGGCAGATAAAATAAATTTAAATAATTCACAATACTGAGGGGGAGAGACTGCTGGGGAGACCTAGACATAGATGGGAGGATAATCTCAGGCAGGATCCATGGGAGATATGAGTTAAAGAGCAGGGTCCGGTGGAGGGATTTGGTTAGTTCGGTGATGATCCTTCGAGTTCCGTAAGCCATCTAGTCAGTTAGTTACAACTTCAGGTCATGTTGGTTCGTGATGCATTACGTCCAAGCTCTACGCAGAGTAAGAGAATTTCCTTACAGATGAGACAGTTTTGTGGGATGTGTCAAGGAAAATGTATGAAAATAATCTGGGAATTGCCGGCTGCGCTCAATGGGATATGAACACATTCATATTGGTCTCACATAATTTATTCCCAATTTCAAGGAAAGCAAATTCGAACTGTAAACTACAAGCTAGTACAAAATAATAAGATACAGTGGCTCTAAATAGCCATGCAATGTGATACTAAAAATGGGAGAATAGAAATTGAGATGAAATTTAATGGTTTATTTCTAAACAACTTTAGAAACTGAATCATTTAATTTGTCGGATCAGTAATGGAAACTGTTTCTAGAACAAAAGCTAAATATATCGATCATTGAGTTCTCTATAAAGACTTTGTCTGCCTAAACCCGGTTTTTCTCGGACAACTTTAATGTAGTTTACTTTTAAAGGCTCTATTCTCTTATCATACAGAGTCATTCTTATCACTCCGTCCTACCCAATTCAAATTATGAGGTTAAAACACTTTGTTTGTATTTTCTGCCATCGATCTCATAACCCTACTTTTTATCATTATGTACTGTTATACACAATGTCAGCCTTGATTACCTGTTCATTTGTCTAGGTTCTGCTGGTGTCTCCATCTTTTCTTCAACGGCCATCCAGATCCTCTCCGTCTTAGTGGTTTCCTCAACTTGTAATGCACGTTACAAGTTTCTCAAATACAATTTTGCCCAATGTGAGTCGTCCAGACAATCATGAAAATTTACAAATTGTGAGTGTGGGTACGTGATTACTTCCACTCTAATTCCGTAATGTTTCACAGCCATCTAATTAACACACAACCACCTGTAACAACAGACACTCGACGGCCGGCAAAGGAATACAGAGAATTAACTCACAATTACGTATGCCTGCACCAAAGAACATAGTTCTACGGATCATCTCAGCAAGCGGCGATACCATCCTTATTACGGTCGTACCAACAGCGAAATCAAGTACTGTTAGCGACTGTAACCTTGCGATATGGGGATGGTGGAAGTAAGTGCCTTTAATTTAACACTCGTAATTAAATGATATCTTTAAAAAGCTGAGATAAAATAACAGGCAGAGTTTTTTATGTTCCAGATCAGACACCAAGAACGGAATATTCTACAACTAATTACCAAAGTAATTGTGTTTATCAGATAAACCTGGCGTAATTTTTATTTATAAGTCACAAATTAGTATTTTAATGAACTTATGAGGGCTGTGGGTCTGTTCATACTTTGAACAAACCTAAGTTCATTGTTTCTGTCTGTTCTATTCTGATGATGATGATGAGTGTCAAACCAGAAAAATGTATTGTAACAACGTCTCATAAACAGAGAAAAAGTTCATAATTAAACATAATACACCAGCTAATAAAATAGTTCACAAACACATCATTTAATGCTAAAAAGTGTCCAACATATTTCAGTGGAACTGCAGTGTGATTCATGAACAATTAATTTAGAAGGCTGTGGAAGGAAGCAACTGCGGCCTAATTTAAGGTACTATCTCAGTCTTCTTCTCAAAGGGTCCAGAAAGTACACAGACCAAATGCCAGGACAGCCAATCGCCAAGCCACAGTACATTGAAGTGATTTTAGAAATTCGTGAAATACCGAAGTGACTTACACGTACCTGTCTTTGTCACAGTGCATTCTGTCACCTTCTTAGCCAAAGATGATTCTTGCAATTGGATTTATTTTAATTCGTATATGCATAAAAGATTAGTCTTCATACGTAAACAATGTATATTTAATTTTACAACAATTTATATATACAATAGTACATATATAAAATTACAATCATCCAAATACGTGTATATGAAGAAAAGTTGTAGAAATATAAAATTAAAGAAGATTAGCAAAGATGCACAAACGTAGATTATAATACAGAGTGTCCGGATGAAAGGTATCCAAAATAAAAAAAAATATATCTCGGAAATTAATCGTCAAACACGTATCCGGTTTATGTCATCGGAAAAGAAAACTCTGAAAGTTTCTTTCTGAGTATATAACTTTCTCAGTAAATTTCAATGTTGGCTCCCCTGGTGGCACGACAAATATCCAGACGATAGTCGACCTCGTTCCACGTTCCTTGAAGCATGTTTGGTGTTACCGTCCCTTAAGCGGGCTTTCAGGTGTTGAAGGTCATTGATCTTAACCTGGTAGACAATGTTCTTCACATAACCTCACAATAAATAATCAAATGGGGTTAAATCTGGCAACCTAGGAGGCCAAGCGATCGGTCCACCTCTACCGATCCATCTCCCAGGTGATTCCTAACATGGCGGCGCATACAGCTTCAGCATGTCCAAGTACGAACGTCCGGTCACAGTCTTTTCCGAAAATAAAAACGGTCCAATCAACTTGTCGTCCATTAACCCTTTAAGACCCAGTGGTAACTATATGTACCACCTGAGTTTTGTATGTATGGGTTTCGTATGATTCTCACTGTAAACAGCGATTATTTCCTTAAACAGCGTTAACCAGTTGATCTTTGTAATGGTTAAGTAATGTGTTTACTTCGCGGTACGGACTGATTTATTAAATAATATTTAGATAAGCTGCCTCTTTCCAACACAAATGTGACATGTGGATTTTGACTGCCCCAAATCCTACAACTCCGTTGGCATGGAACGTCGCCTCGTCCCGAGAAGGACACTTGGCGGAGGAAACCGGGTGACTCGTCAATTCTTTCTAGCATGTCCACAGCGAAGTTAGTGCGTGCTACTCGGTAAGTCGGTTTTAGTGCATGAATCATTTGAATCTTGTACGCTCTTAGGCCGAGCATTTTGTGTATCACATCGTGCGCCGTTGAACGTGGAATTTGTAACTGCAAGCTAGCAGCGCGAATTGATTCGCGCGGACTTCGTTGGAACTCTGCTAGCCACGACACGCATTGAACCTGCTCCTGTGGTGTCGACATCGTTACTGAGCTCGCCGAAGGTCACCACCAGCTGGCGCATGCGCGTAAGCCGGGAATGAAAAAGAAACTTTCAGAGTTTTCTTTTCCGATGACATAAACCGGATACCTGTTTGACAATTACTTTCCGAGATATATTTTTTTTTTATTTCGGATACCTTTCATCCGGACACCCTGTATGTATCATACTTGGATCCTATGAAGTCCAAATAGTAAATATCAATAAATGCAAATTATAAAGTTTCATACAAAATTCCTTACTAACCTGTCTAACTTTCCCTATATCACAGACTGATTTGAATTTCAAAGTATTCTGTATACATGCAAGTACAAAATACTAGGTTTGGTACAATTTTATGGCACAAGCTCTTCAAAAATTAAATTTGAAAATTGATTCCCCTGTTTCAGAAAACAAATCCACGTCGAAAAATAGATTTTCTGGATCCTTTATCATTCCAAAAAAGTCTTCATGGTTACTAAGAGCCGATGTTTCAGACATCAAATCTCTGTTTGAATGGAGATCTTCTGGATCCTTTATCATTTCAAAAAAGTCTTCATTCTTACCAAGAGCTGATGTTTCAGACATCAAATCTCTGTTTGAATGGAGATCTTCTGGATCCTTTCTCATTCCCAAAGAGTCTTCATGGTTACAAAGAGCTAATATTTCAGACATCC